AACACCTCGCCAACGGAAGGTGTGGTTGCAGTTACTTCTAGCAGGTTGGTTTTTACGAGGTGGAGTTGCTAGCCCCACGCCCAACCCTCCTCCTTTCTCATCCTGGACTTGGGACCAGGCAAAGGTGGAGGTTGGCATGTTTGGTGTGACAGGGATTCGAACCTGCGACCCTCAGATTACGAGTCGAGCGCCCTAACCACCTGGCCATGCCGGGCCAGAAATAAATTTTTAGTATAGGAAAATTATAACTTCCAATACGGTACGTTACCTCCTCTCACAGATATAGCTAGAATCCCACAATCGAAGAGCACGCAAAAAGTGGAGATCCTCACAGTAGAGGATCCTATGTGGGAGACCGCACCACATCTGTACCAGGTATACTGTATGCCCAGGGTGGAAAGAGGTGATGCAAACCTGGGCAGAGAATGGGAGGAGCACATCCAAAAGAAAGAGAACAATGGTTGGATAAGGATCTGAACCACCAGGTATTGGAATCTCAACCCCTTTGATGACAGTAATGTGGTGAAAAAGGATGTGCAGTAAGGTGTAGAATGGCTAGGGTGTGACAGACCATAGTGGGGTAGGAAAGAGGAACATACTGGTGGCAAGTCAACAGTAATCCAAAACCCAGCTATCAGATAGAGGCAGGAAAGAGAATCATACCATCTTTACCTTCAGTTCAGCAGAATGGAGGGAGATATCATGTCCACCAATCTGTGAACATGTGAGTAAATTGATAATAAATTACTGATCCTGGAACCCAACATCCAGACAATTGAAATAATCAAGATGTCCCCATATTGTGCAACATCCCACTCAAAACAAATCAGGAACCATCCCCAGCACAGTATCATCCTCAGTATATGTAAATCTTTGAAGGACAGTGCCAGGGGAGAACCATAGAAATCCTTATGTTTATCCACCATGACCCACAACATGTTATCAATGAACATGAAGCCAAATGAGTGAGGGAAAAAGAGACACCAGTAATACATGTATAAGGGCTTATACTGATTGGTTCTGCTCTGAATCTAAAATGCAGCCACTGGGAACTGGCATCCACGTGAGGGTAGGATGGGGGATCCCAATCAAAGGGGTGAACTGCAATTTTGAGGGCTCACTTCAGAGCTATAACATCCCCTCAGATAGACCCATATAGAGATGGACTGTCAGATTTGAGGACACCTCGTCATCTATACCAGCAGAACACCACTGCCCTACTCTAAACTGAATGGATTCATTATTTTTGTGTATCATATATCACTATCACATTCAGGAGGATACCTGCATGGTCCACCACCACAGCGGCTTGTAACTGGAAAGTGGTAAGGACTCTCATATTCCAATGGAAGAAAAGAATGCAGTGGAGAGTCCAGAGAAACATCAACACTGGAGACAGTGCAACATGTGACCACAAAACCCTATTTTGAAAAGCAGACCACTCCTGATTTATCCAATCTAAGGAATGGCAGGGATGAGTAGCTATCCCATTCTGCTTTACCCACAAAGTTCATGGGTGAGTACAGTCCGGAGAGATTTTGTGGGACACTCCATCTCAACAATGTGCATTTAGTGGCCATGTAAATTATAACTGTTAAGTCATCATGGCTTGAGAGTGCATGGCTTAAGATATATATACATACAAATGATAACTCACTCGGTCACAGTCACACCAAAATCTGAAGAACAGCAACAGGTGGAAGCCAATAACCAGGCAAGGAAAACAGCTAATCGATGCAGATAGTGACAGATTAATGTAAGAGGTGTTGGTCCACATGCCCAATTGAAGAATTTCCTCCAATGGATGACGGAGATGAGATGCCAGAAAAAAGGTAAGGTGCCTAACCTGGTGAGAAGACACTTGGAACAAATAACGGGAAGAAGGAGACAAGGAAGTATAAGCTAATCGAATTAAAAGCTGTACCCAATTGGTAAGGGTGGAAGGAGAAAGGTCACCAACACAGGATAGTTGCCACAGAATGAAGAGGCTGGAACGGGCATCATAGAAGGAAGCAGTGTGGGCAATATAACAATGAAGAGCTCGTACAGGTCATAGTAGCCTATCTGGATCAG